CTCAAGGTACGACTGTAGGCGCCCATTTCCGCACATGTTGATGTAGATCCTGTAAAAACACAGCTGATTGATCTGGGAACAGAACTGAACGGTTGATGTTTACTCAGCTAAAAGTATTTTAGCTTAATATGGCTAACTGAGCCAGCTAAAAGAGGCTAACCTGTTAGCTACTGAGCACAGCTAGCCACAGCGCTACGCACCTCTCCCCCTTTATATTGTGGTCTTGCAGTTACTTTGTTCACCATGAACAGATTTTTTCATCTTTATCAATCAGTTAAATCTTCCTCGGTCGACAGACACGCTAACGCTACAGATGCTCCCGACTCGCCACACTGACGCTGCATTCTCATCGTTGTCTGTGGCAACGTTCAGCCCATCATAGCGTAACCTCACTAGCTAGCACAAGACCCAAGCAGATCTGCTACCTACAGCGGGTGGGTTCCCGGGTCAGCGGCCATTTCTCAATCTGTGCGTTGTGCGTTCTCATTTGCTCGTGAAACGTCCTCAGCTACAGCCCTAGTACTATTCCAATTCACAAGAACAAGAGGACAGAGAACGGAAAAAGTCCCTGGAGGTTGATTTTGCCCCTCCCTCTTTACCCAGCATGCATCACAGCAGACTTGTCGTTCTCCAGACTGACAGCTGTCCCAGCATGCACCGCGGTAGCAGCAGCTTCCAGGTTAGCGCTCACAGAGTTCAGAGTATTAAATTAAAAGTTCACTTTTCTGTTTCCGTTGTTCAATAGAAGTACGTTTTAAGATAATTTGAGGCGAGAACGTTATACTTTTAAGCGTCGGAATATAACCCATTTCCTGATTTAGTGCATAATTAAAATTTTAAAAAGAGTTCTGATGTTGAGAGGACCGCGGCAACCAGCGGAGCTCCAAGGCTAACAGCAGCCAGGGCTAACGTTAGCCCTTCTGCGGCAGCAGTGTGTGAAGGACCACCGGCTACGATGGAGTTTTTAGTTTGATTTGTGTTTATCTGTTTTAATCATTATTCACCCACTAAATTAAAAACTCATAATTTATTATTATCTAAAGACTGTTAATAACAGGAGATGAAATGCAGCTCTAGACGATCCGAGCGTGTGGTGACATCATCAGTACGCTTCTGTTCCAATTGACCCACATTTACTCTGCGTGCTCCCGGTCTCCCCAAGTCCAGACTTTCCTGCGTTCTTATCCAGAACGTTCTTGGCGAGAACACAAGTCATGTTGGCCATGCGCCGTCCTTTTTATAATATACTGGCCGGTGTTGCAGGAAGCTGACAGATAATTTCATTGACTAAATTTAGCACAAACAGATGGTTGCCACAGCAACTTCTTCGCTGTTATTCGTCCGCCTCCATCTTTTGACGAGCATAGAAACTATAAATCAAACATAAAAGAATAGAACGATTATAGGATGATTGAAAGATTAGAACCATTTCTGATCAATAATCGGTTCTTTGAGCCCAAACTGAGCAGAAACCGTTAAATATTAACCAGTTTTTTTTATTACATATTTACCGTTAGCTAAGACTAAAAGCTGAATTTTCTGATCCGTTTATTTAATTTATATTAAATGATTAAGAGTCTTGTGTTTAAACAGATTCAGCATTCCTTTAACTATTAATCATTCAGATACTTCTAGGTGTTCTGAGTTTAGCAAAGAGTTTTTAGTCAACGGAACAATGTTAGAAATTTTCTTCAAATCAGGATAAATGGATTCAAAAACAAACGTAAGTAAAATATGAAACAAAGGCTTGTCTGTTTCACACCAACTACTGGCTGAAATGTTTCCCACAGAGCGGCAACAAGGTGACCCTGCAGACAACGGCGCTGGAGAACACGTCCATCAAGGTGGGCCCCGCCAGGAGGGCCAGCTACAGGGCCAAGATGGTCAGACGCAGCAAGAAGAGCAAGAAGAAGGACGGTCAGGAGAGGTGGGTGGCTCCGCATGGCAGCTGGTGCTGCGGGTAAAAAAGTATTCAGCTGTAAAGTCCAGTTAAATAAACGGAGATCCATGGATTTCACTCAGTCGCCACTTTATTTTCACTGCAAAGAAAAATAACATCTTGGCGTAAAATCCAGCCCTACTGAACAGAGTTTATCTCGCTAGTTTAAACCCTGCAGGAAGGCTATAAACGTCTCCACATACCGTTACCCAAACAATTCAAGGCAGTTAGAAACAACGTTAGAAATAATCCCAGAGAAACAGTCTAGCTTGTTATGAGGATCATTATTTTTATCCTAAACTCTCCCTAAAGCCGCTGTCACACCTTTACGATTTAGACCACCGTGTGCCTGACCAAAAATCTGGCAAAAACGCTGGCATACGTTGGATAAGTTATGGGCGTGTTTTCTAAAAGTTATGAGTACGCTGAAACACGGCGGCACACGTTGACATACGGCGAGTATGTCGAGATATTTTGAGAGTGCTCAGAATTTCCTGACGTATCTAATAAAATATTGATACTGTTTTTATGAAAAGATACACATATTGTCTAAA